CAGGGGGACCCTAGGCAGTGCAAGGCAAGTGCCCACCTGCTGTACTATCTCTAAAACCTCCATATAGACAGAACTCTGTTCTGGCAGAATTAACAAAATTTTCAAACATAAAAATACCACAACGACAGGGGCCAGATTGATAGTAACAGCGTATTGGGTGCTTGCCTTGCACACGGCCGAAATGGGTTCAAATCCCCAGCACCCCACGGTCCCGAGCCCTGTCAGGAGTGATCCCTGAATACAGAGCCAGGAGTCAGCCCTGAGCACTACCAGAAGTGGCAAAAACAAAAATCAAACCAAAATGAATTAAAGAACAACAAAAACAGGCAACTGGGGTTGAGCATTAGTACAGGGAAGGTATATGCCTTACTTGTGGCAGACCCTGGCTTTCAATCCCTGGCACAGCATACAATCCCCTGAACCCTATAAGTGATCCCTGAGCACAGACCCAGATGTAAGCCCTGAGCACCACTGCTGTACTTCAACATCCCCTACCCAATAATTAAATAAGGTATAAACTTGTGAAAACAGATGATGAGTTTTCCATGGGTGGGGACAACACTCTGGTGGAGGGTGTGGTGTTAGGTCATATGCATGAAACACCACTGACAATATTGTAAATGATGGTGCCTAAAATTAAAAAAAAAAAAAACTAAATTGTGGGACTGAAATGCATTAGCATAGTAACTAGTTAAAAGTGTACTATATATATATTACAGTGTACAATATATAGTATATATACTATTACATACACTATATTATATATACTATATAATAGTATATATACTATGTATATAGTGTACTATATATATCTATTTAACGAGCCAGCCAGGAGTCGAACCTAGAATCTTCTGATCCGTAGTCAGATGTGTTATCCATTGTGCCACTGGCGTTTGCCTTGCACGCAGCAAACATGGCCAACCCGAGTTCGATTCCTTCACCCCTCTCGGATAGCCCGGCAAGCTACTGAGAGTATCTCGCCCGCACGGCAGAGCCTGGCAAGCTACCCATGATGTATTCGATATGCCAAACACAGTAACAAGTCTCACGATGGAGACGTTACTGGGCCCGCTCCAGCAAATTGAGGAACAACGGGAGGACCGTGACTGTGATTTTCATATATATCTATATATTTATATATATCTGAAAGCTGTTATGGGAAAAAATAGATATCAAAAGTCATCAGGAAGGCTGGAGTGATAGTATAGTGGGTAGGACATTGCTTGTACATATGACGTCTGTCTACCTCCTGGAACACTACATGGTCCCTGGAGCCCAGCCAGGAGTAATCCCTGAGCACAGCCCGGTGTGGCCAAAAAAACAGTGGGGCTGGAGTGATAGCACAGTGGGTAAGGAGTCTGCACTGCACGCAGCCCACCCCAGTTCAATTCCCAGCATCCAATATGGTCCCACAGTACCACCAGGAGTGATTCCTGAGTGCATGAGCTAGGAGTAGCCCCTGTGCATCGCTGGGTGTGACCCAAAAAGCAAAAAAAACCAAAGCAAAACAAAGTGAAAACTGTCACTGTCCTCCCATCGTTCATCGATTTGCTCGAGTGGGCCCAGTAATGTCTCCATTGTGAGACTTCTTGTTACCGTGTTTTGTATGTATATCAAATACGCCATGGGGAGCTTGCCAGGCTTTGCCATGTGGGCGAGATTCTCTCGGTGGCTTACTGGGCTCTCCAAGAGGGGCAGAGGAATCAAACTCAGGTGAAAACAAACCCAAAAAATCATCGAGGGTGTGTGTATGTGGGGGCATGATAGTACAGCAGGGAGGGCATGTGCCTTGCATGTGGCCAGCTTGGGGATGGATTTGATTCCCAGCATCCCATATGGTCCCCCGGAGCACCACCAGGAATAATTTCTGAGTACAGAGCTAGGAGAAACTCCCGAGCATCTCCAAGTGTGACCCCAAAAGTCAAAAAAAAAAATGATCAGACAGGCTGGAAAGATAAAACAAGAGGCAGAGCATTTGTCTTGCACAAAGCCTACCTGGGTTCAATCCTCTGCAGCCCCCAGTTTCCCCAAGCCCTGTCAGGAGAGATTACTGCCAGGAGCAAGGCCAGAGCACTCCCAGGTGTGGCCCCATAACAAAATAAAAAAGAGAAGGGGGAAAAAAGTCATAGCCAAGGATTAAAGAGCTAGTAGAGAGCTTAAGGCACTGCCTTACATCTGACTAAAATCAGTTCAATTCCCACAACATATGTCCCTGAATATCCCCAGGGTGACTCCTGAGCTCAGTCAGGAATATCCCCTGAGCACCTCTGGGTGTAGCCCTAAACAGTCTCCGCTCTCTCCTAAGTTATCAGGACAAGCTGGAGATGTAACTTGCAATGTGTGAGGCCCTGGGTTTGGTTCTGACTATCATCAAAAAAAAAAAGTCATTGAGGTGGAGAGATAATACAGCATGCAGGACACATACAGGGTATATGGCCAATCTGGGTTCAATCCCTGGCATCCCATATGGTTCCCCAAGCACCACTAGGAGTAATTCCTAAGTACAGAGCCAGGAGTAGGTCCTGAGCACCTCCAGGTGTGGCCCCAAAATTAAAAAAAAAAAAAAAAACAAGCACTAGTAAGATACTATAGCATGTCAGGTACCAACATTTCATAGGCATGAAAGTGTTAAATCCTCGAAGCAACCCTATCAGGTAGATCTTATTTGTGCTTTATCTTTTATATAATGAAACTGACATAAACAACAATTTGCCTTGATATAGGCAAATTACTTTAACTCTAAAGTTCTTGCTCCTGACCATTCGACACTATTGCCTTTCCGTGGAGAAAATATATTCCAGGTAATCTGATGCAGACCTCCTCATCTGTGGAACAAATCAAGACAGAACAGATGCAGTTTAATGAATGTGGGAGAAAATGAGATGATGGAGGTGCAAGAGGAAGCAGGGGGTGCTGGAAAGATAGCACAGTGGGTAGGGAACTTATCTTACACATTGTCCACCCAGGTTTGATTCCCAGCATCCTACATGGTCCTCTGAACAGCTCCAAAGTGATTCCTGAGCAGAGCCAGGAGCTACCTCTGAGCATCACCAGACGTGGTCCCCCCACACCAAAAAGAGGAGAAAGGGAGACAGAGAGAGAGAGGGAGAGAGAGAAAGAAATGAGACAGCAGGGGACAGATGGTGTGTGGCTTTGAGAGTAATAGCAAGGATTCAGGATTATGTCAAATACGGAGAAAGCAGTGGAGTGTCATAAACAGCTTTGTATTTGGATTTTGGCTTTTATTTTTATGTGCTTGTGGAGCCATACCAGACATTACTCAAATGCCAGAAACCTAGGCCTGGGATTCAGATATAGCAAGCATGAACTCCAGCCCTTTGATCTATCTCCCCCCCCTCAGACTGGCTTTTTTTTTTTTAAATAAATCAATCTGAGTGTTGGAGAGAAAGTAGGTGGACAGGGCACTTGCCTTGGACATGTCCAACCCACCACCAGGTGTGGCCCATAAAAAAAAAATCTGGCTGGGTTGTTTTTTCATTGTTGTTGCCATTTTTGTTTTTTGGGTCACACCTGGCAATGCTCAGGGGCCAGAGATAATTCCTGAATTGGACTCAGGAATTACTTCTGGCAGTGCTTTGGGGACCATATGGGATGATGGAGATCTAACCCTGGTTGGCTGCATGCAAAGCAGAGTGCCCTACCCACTGTACTATCTCTCCAGCCCCTGATGCTTTTTTGGGGGAGAAGGGGGCACACCCAGTGATGCTCAAGGTACTCCCAGCTCTGGGCTCAGGGATCACTCATGGCAGGGTCTGGGGATCTTATAGGGTGGTGGTGATTGAACCCGGGTGAGCCCCAAGTAAGGCAAGCACCTTAATTTGTAGTATCTCTCCAGCCTGATTCTGGTTGCTTTGTGAAGACTCTGGTAAACAAGCAGGCTCAGGAGAGTGGCCATAGGTAGGTAGCAATAGAGAAGGATCAACAAATGGGCTGAGTATTTTCGAGGTAGCATCAATAAGACATTTTTTGTTTGCTTGTTTACAGTGGGGCTCAGGGATCAATCCCTGGGTTTGACCCATGCACATACGGGCTCTACCACTAAGTCACTTCCCTCTCAATAGGACCTGCTGAAGAACCAGATTGTAAATTATTGAGGAAAATGGCTGAATCAAGACCATATCTGTACCTGAAGGTCGCCTGTGCCCTTATATACTGCATCATTTATTAATGATCATTCTAGAATCTATTTCTACTACTGGCAGAAAAGTAATTTTTAAAAATTTAAATGTAAAAGTCTAACAGTAGGACAGGCAGGATTCAAGTCTGACTCCAAAACTAGAACTGTCCAGTTTCAAATACAAAACCAGAAACGTATCTGACACACGAATGAACGAGCAGGTGCATTCCTGAACAATTCGCATGCTCCAGAGGAGTTTTATGTGGCTGCAACACGGCTTAAAGGTCCAAGAGATTTTATGACTTTGCATTTACGGTTAGAAGACAAAAAAAAAAAAGCTAGGTTATTTAAAATATCAGTATTGACAGCATCTAAAAAAAGGGGAGCGAGGAGAAATATCCCCAGTTCTAGACATTTTTGTTTCGAAAGACTGCAATTCACAGGCGATGCGAAGCTGACTCTCCCGCGCCCCCACCGCGACCACCCAGCCAGGCACCCCCGCCGCCCGTGGCCTCACGATGATGTAGGCGTCCAGGATGGAGCGGTAGAGCGCCAGGACACGGGTGAGGTTCACAGCCAGCTGTTTCCTCTCCTCGTAAGAGAGGCCCCGGGCGGAGATGCCCGGCATCCCGGCAGCGGGCCGCAGAGAGGAGGGAACCAGGGCGTGCAGCTCGTGGGAGCGCCGAGCTGGGGAGCGGAACGCGGCAGGAGCGCGGAACCGGAGCACAGACCCCCAGCAGCTTCGCGGCGGGGACGAAGAGGCGCCTTCGTGACGTCACAGTCCGCGACGGGCGGAGAGCAAGAGGGGCGGGGGGGGCCCGGGCCCCGACACCGCAGGAGAGGCAAGCCCCGCCTCTTCCGGTACACTTCCGCCCTTTCCCGGAAGTGGGGTCCTCAAGGCGGGCGGGCGGCCGTTTCTGGCTGTAGAGGCCTCCGCACACCGTCGAGGCGGCCCTCCCCCGGACCTGAGGGATCGGGAAGTGCCAACCCGACCCACGCCGCCGCTACTCCCGACTGCCGCTGTCCGCGGAGTCCCGGGGCTGGGAGGACTGCTGGTGCATTCCTTCCTGTGCGCGGGCCGGCCGGGGTTCTCCGCCGCGGCTCGCTCCCGTTTCCGTATCCGGCGTCTGGCGTTTCCGGGCATGGCGAGGCCTGTCAGGGAGGTAGGTGGGTGAGCTCGGGGACCGGTCGTGTCGCTGTTGTTGGGACTCGTGCTGCGGTGCCCAGGGGTGATCCAGAAGTATGTGATAGCATCATTGCTCTCAGGCACACTTAGACGTTCCCTCCTCCCCGGGCACGTGGTAGCGCTCACCTGGCTTGGCCTTCCAGAATCACCACGCTGGAGCTGGATGGACGTGTGCGCGCGTGCGTGTCCTGAGACTATACAGATGAGACATACTAGAGAGGGAAGTAGAGGCTTCCGCACACCTTCAGCTGGTGACTCTTGGGACCTTTGCTCCAATACGGCCTTCCCCCCATCATTTCACAAACAGCTCCCCCTTTTGGAGGGGGTGAGGGGACGGGCACCCTATGATGCTTATGGGTTACTCCTGGCTTTGCACTCAGGAATTATTCCTGGCAGAGGACCATATGAGATGCCAGGGATTAAACTCAAGTCGGCCACGTGCAAGGAAAGGATCCTACCTTTTGTACTATCACTCCAGCCCTCTCCTTTACCTTCTGTCGGGTAGGTGATCCTGATGTTTTTCCTCCTGTGATTCCCACAGATCTGAGTCTCTTTCCTCCCGCCCCCTCCCCCACACTTGTGGACTCAGTTACCCGGATCCCTTTCTTCCCCAGGGCGAATTGCGAGTCTCCTGATGCTGCTCTCTGGCCTTCAGCAGAGGGGGAGTTGCATGTCCTCCTCCCACTAAGCCGCTCTTCCCAGCTGGTTGCCCTCCATCCGTCTGACACATGTCTACCTTACTCCTCAACTTGGACTTCGGCAAGCCTCCCCCTAAGAAGGGATTTGAGGGTAATGCCAAGCACCGAAGTTTTGTCAAGAAGCGGCGGCTTTTGGAACGGAGGGGTCTTCTGGCCAAGAAGAATCAGCCCCCTAGCAAGGCACCTAAAGCTCGCTTGGAGGCAAAGCAGCAGAAGCAACAGCAGAAGCAACAGAATGGCGACGCGGCCAGAGGGGATGACTCGGGGAAGGCTGCCTCCCTCCCAAAAAAGAAGCCCACTGCTTCCAGCAGCACAGCTGAGCCAGCCCAGGACAGGACAGCTAAGGTGCCTTGGCTGACCCCGGGTCCTTCACAGAAGGCTGGTTCTGTGGTGGTGAAAGTGGATCTCCTAGGGGAGTTCCAGAGCGCCCTTCCAAAGGTGAAGAACCGCCCGCCACGCTCCAAGAAGAAGGGCCCTCCGAAGCAACCTTCTCAGAAGAGCAGCTCACCACCTTCCACCCAAGGTCCCCCGGAGAGCAAGTGCCCTACCACACTCCAGAGGATTCCGAGCAAAATGGTGGCGATTGACTGTGAGATGGTGGGCACAGGGCCCAAGGGCCATGTTAGTTCCTTGGCCCGCTGTAGCATAGTCAGCTACGAGGGTGATGTGCTCTACGATGAGTATATCCGCCCACCCTGCCAGATCGTGGATTATCGCACCAGGTGGAGTGGGATCAAGAAGCAGCACATGGTGAATGCCACCCCCTTCAAGGTGGCACGGGGACAGGTGAGAGGCCTGGGTTACAATGGACAGGGGGACAGGGAGGACAGAGCCCACATCATGCTTGCAAAGGACTGTTTCCTGGGAAGACCTCAAAGGGTTGGAGAAAGACACCCTGGTCAGGAAGTCACCATTCACTGGTGGAACGGGCATCTTTGGCTAAGTGAGACCCATCTTTGGTCCTCAATGAACTCCTGAGCCAGTGCCAGGAGTTCCACAAGTGCCAGGGGGGTTGGCTCAATTTGGGTTTTGGGGGATGCCGTTGGGAATAGGTTAGGGAGGGTGGAGCTGGGAGCCTTTTTAACACTGGGGTTACGTAGCAAAGTTGGGAGAAGATGCAGGGTGGTTGTGTTGGGGGTTTCATGTCGTTCACAGAGCAAACCTGTCTGGTTTCAGGACACTGGGAGCAGGCAGGAGGCTGAAGCCCTGAATGACTAGAGAAGGGGGGCTGCAGGGCAGGCGGGACTGTACAGGCGAGTGGCCAGTACTGGGAGGCCTCCAGAGGGCGCCCTTAGTCCACATTGGAATTGCAGCCCCAAATTCTCCACCTCTAGATCTGTGGTTCTCCAGTTTTTATACCTACCTGGGCTGTGCTTGGAAACCACTGGACGCATTTTTCAAAGAATTCCTGACCTGGCAGGGCAGTCAGTTGGAGATGGTTTATCCAAAGAATGTCTGGAGTTTTAGAAAACAAAACCAGAAGAGTGGCTCTGAGATGGCCACGCAGCCCAGCCCTGACTGGCAGGAACTTTGTTGAAGTTCATGTGAAGTAAGAAGTCTGGGAGCGGGGGTGGTAAGCACAGGGGAAGATGGCCTGTGAGCCCCTAGTCCATTGAACTGCACTGTTTTCGTTGGAAAGCACTTCCCTTGTGCCCCAGCCAGCCTGGAAGACTGAGGTGCATCCTGTGTGTCTGACTTCTTCCAAGGGGTTACTGCAAGGGTCAGCCCCTGAGTCTTAGCCTCTTTGGAATTCCGCTTTGGGATTTGTGACCAGAGTTCATGGCATCACCTTTGATGGCCTGAGAAGTATGTCCTTAGCTGGGGTGGGGCACTCCTGTCCCAAAGGCCAGGTCCTGAGGCCTGGCACTTGGAGACTGCAGGACAGACACGTGTGCTGCACGTAGGCTGCCCATGGCCCATCTGCTTGGGTTGGGTGGCCCGTGGATGATGTTCTAAATACCCAGATGGCAGAGGAAAGGTTTCCCTGCCCTTAGACCCACAGATGGGCTTTGGTAGTTACTTGTGAAGACTGAGCATTGCCCCCTGATGATGTGCAGGAGGAGTCAGAAGGCAAAGGGACTGGCTTTCTGTTCAGATAAGACCATGGACAAAGGAGATAGGGCAGCAGGGAAGGCGCTGGCAGCCTTGCACATGGCCAACCAAGATTCCATCCCATGGCACTGCATGGGGTCTCTGAGCCCTGCTGAGGAGTGATCCCTCAGCACAGAGCCAGGAGTATTACCCCTTAAGCATCATCAGATGTGACTCAAAAACACATCGCTAAAATGTTTAAAGTGTAGAATAACATTGGTTTATCCTTTCTGCCTGGCCGCAGGGAGCTTAGGTTTATTGGGTTACTCCCATCACCGTGCTCCCATTCCTCTGAGTTTATTTGTAACTTCTTTCTTTGTGCTCTGTTGACTTGTAAATATTGTTTTTCTCTTCTGAAGTCTTTTGCATAGTTAATTCAGAGCAATGTCATTTTTGTACTGACACGGATAGAGGAAGACAGTTAATCCTATGCTTTTGTAATGTGGGAGTTAATGAACTCTGAATGATATTTTCCTCCTGGATATCTGTTCTCTCAATTTAAGCCTCAATTGCCCTTACTTCCTAGCACCCCAAAAGCAAGGTCCCAATGAGGAACTGGATGGACCCAGGGCAAGCAGTGAGCTATGTGCTACCCTGGCATCGAAATGGGCCTGACCAAAGTGCCATAATGCTTAACTATAAATTAAGAGCATGGTCATGGACAAATTCTGTCATGATCCAAAAAGTAATAACTAAATTCGGACCCTGCTAGGGTTAGGAAAGATTAATCTAGCCTGAGCACTGTAGTCTGAGACTGGCAAGATGTTCCCAGAAGAGCTGCCCTACAAGCCTCAATGTATCTCTTACTGTGTCTGTACAAAAATAACTGATATGAAGAAGTAGAATTAAGATGTTAATTAAGTTATTGGATTTAGGAGAAGAGGAACGCCCCTAAGTGATTGAGTCTGATGGGCAGTCAGGAGGGCCTTTCTTATGTTGATTTTGCTACTAGGCGTAGCAGCAGCAGAGTGCTGGAGAGTTGGAGAGATGAGAGTTGGAGGGAGAGGAGAGGAGAGGGAGAGCAGGGCCACAAGATGGAGTGCAGAGAGATGAGCTGGAGAGACAGGAGGAGACAGGAATGAGGGGCAGTGTGAGACTAGAATGGGAGGCTCAGAGAGACTGGAATCAGGCACGTGGGGAGAATGGAATAAACGGCAGCTGGGCAACTGATCAGTCAACCGGCTCGGCCCTTGTTTCCTCCTCCATCTGCCCCATGGCATGGGCCGACCAACCCAGCTGGGCGAGTGGCCCAAGACCACCCAACCCCGGCGGCGGCGAGGGGGAGACCCTCCGGGGCCTCCCCTGGCCGCCTGGAGACTGTATATATATACATATATATTATTGTTAAAGTATAAAGAGTAAAGATGCACAGCCTGGGTCCCCTCGATCACTTCCCTTGAAGCCTTGTTCTAATGGACTCTGAGTAGTTCATGACCTAGGGGCCTCAACCTAATGGAAGCAATGCCCTTCCCCCCCCATAAAACCCCATAAATGTGTATATTTGCATATAATTTGGGACTTCCAAGTAGCTTCTTGGAGCCCATGTTTGAATCCACTTGTCCTGACCTTACCTGAGGTCGGAATGGTGGTACTGATCAAAAGACTTCAGTAATACTGAAACCATTCTGAACCCCGTAGACCCATAAATATCTCTGACAAGAGCATGACTTGGGGCTGAAACCAATTAATTGGAGAGAAAATGGGTAGGTAAGAGGTAAGGACCCACTCATGTTAGAACCACAAAAGGTGCCACTGTGGACACATTCCACTTTTTGCCTGGGAGAGGAGAGGCTCATAACTGGATTTCAGGTGAAAGACATCCAAGGAGGCAGGTGTGACTGTTTGCAGGAGAAGCACCCAGAAGGCCCTGTGGGCATTAAGGCTACAGAATCGGCCCCTACAGTAACTTCTGCCTCTTCCTCTGCCCCATTCCAGATCCTGAAACTCCTCACAGGGAAGATAGTGGTGGGCCACGCTATCCACAACGACTTCAAGGCCCTGCAGTACTTCCACCCCAAGAGCCTCACGCGGGATACCTCTCGCATCCCCCTACTCAACCGGAAGGCCGGCTCCCCGGAGAATGCCACCATGTCACTGAAAAACCTCACTAAGATGCTGCTGAACCGGGACATCCAGGTAGTGCCCCCCACCCCCCACCTTAGCCCATCCCCCCGGGGCTGGGCTGCCCACACTCCAGGAACTTGTCCCCAGAATTCCCTCAGGGTTCCAGAATCTAAGGGCTGTTCTGTCATTAGAAAGCATTTTAGGGTTGAGGAGCCCCTGGTCTTTCCCCCTCAGGACCTGGGGAGAAAGATCTTTACCCCACAGTGTTCCAAAGGGAACTTGGGCAAGAATAAAAGGGCCAGAGGTAGGATTTGGTGGTAAAGTACATCATGCTTTGCATTCAGGACCTAAAGTATTTCCCCAGCTCTGTCAAAGAAAGGAAAAACCTTCAGGCTTAAGCTCCGAGTTAAGAGGACAGGCAACTGGGGAATGGTGCACAGGAGGCCTGGGTTCAATACCCAGCACCGCATGATCCCAGAACATCCGAAGGATAACACCCCTGAGCACCGCTGGGATTGGGCCCATAAAAGGAAAGGGGGCTCGAGAGATAGTACAGCAGGGAAGGCACTTGCCTTGGGAGCAGCTGACCCAGGTTTGGTCTGCAATACTACATAGCGTCACCCAGGCCCTTACCCCGTTCCCAGAAGTGACCTCTGAGCACTGCAGATATGGTCCAAAAAGAAAAGTATCTAGGGCACTGTCCAGGAGGGAAGGCATTTGCCTTGAAAGTGACCAACCTTGGTTCAATCTCCAGCATCCCATATGGTCTCCTGAGCCATGTGGGGGCCCCAGGGAGGCCCAAAAACAGAACGAAAGCAGATAATGGAGGTCTAAACCAGCAGTTCTCAACCGCAGCGTATCTCAAGGGGACCACATATGAAAATCAAGTAAATAAGGGGTGGCCTGCTGGCAGAAGGGTGCAGATACCTCTTCATGGAGCAGTGGGGGTGGCACTCCAAGGACTTTGCCCGGCATACTCGGGAATGATGAATAGGGCCATTCTGGGGCCCTCACATGGCCCCAGAGAAGAATAAGGCAAACTATCGCAAAGGCTTCCTAGGAGTCAGATGGCCAAGTTCTCTCTCCCTTTGTAGAAACAACAGCACGGATGAGAGATGGGGGAAGGCGGTCTCCTCTAACCTCATCCCTTTCTCTTCTCTCCCCCTCCAGGCTGGGAAAAGTGGTCACTCCTCTGTGGAAGACGCCCAGGCCACCATGGAGCTGTACAAATTGGTTGAAGTTGAGTGGGAACAGCACCTGATCCAGAATCCCCCAAAAGACTAGTGACTCTGGGGCCCCTAGTGGTTGCAGGAGGCAAGGGCCTGCCCAGGAGGAACGGGACTTTGGCCCCGTGACCTGCTCTTCCTCCTCTACACTTTGAAAGCCAGAATTGTGTGGGGAGAGACTCCCCCGCTCTCCAGACACCTTCTAATGAAATTTCACCTCAGGCTTGTGCTTGGCGTCTGGCTTAAGTGTGGAACAAGGAAGCCACCGAGTCAGCCCTCCTACAGTGTTCACCTCTAAAGTGGTGCTAACCAAGGTCCCAGCGTGCTTGGCTCCCTAGAACTTCTCTCCTTGAGGGGTGGAGGCACACATCCGGCTCCGTCGTGATCCCTGGCGGTGCTTATGGAACCAAATGTTGTACCGGGGATTTGAACCAAGGGGTCAGCAGGATGCAAGGCAAGTGCCTTAACTCTTGGACTGGCTCTCCAGTCCCTCATTAAAACTCTTGAACTTGACCCTCCCGGGGCAGGGCTTGCTGGGAAATGGGGTTCCCTCAACCTGCCTTATCATTGAGGGCCACACAGGCCCCTGTTCACACCTTTCATTCTCAGCTGCTGGACAGGACCGTCTTTCTTGCCAGTGCTGACACAGTCACGCTGTAAGTCACAGACTCTTGCCTCAGTCTTCCTGGAGGCGGTGGACTAGTCCCTGTTCCGCCCTCATGTCCTTATGTCGTTCCCCAATGGGGTTTTTTATCTTCCTCAGGGTCATAGGGCGGTCGAGGTCAGAGTTTGACTCGGAAACCAGCTTTCGAGTGGAGGAAAGTAACTTCTTTCTGAAAGTAATTGAGGAATGATTTACATTAGATCCCACTTGGTAGGTTTTAAAAAAAAAAAAAAGATTCCAAAGTATTTTAATTCTTTGCTGAACCAAGCCTCACAAAAGGTATATTAGTCCCTTGATAAATTTTTATAATGAAAAAAAAAGACAATGGTGTCGTGTATTTATTTCCCATTGAGTGGCCTCGTCCTGAGATCCTGTCAGGCTGCCGTTCTGAAGGGACTTGTGCTGGCTGCGGACCTACGCCAACGACTGAGTGGGCCGGTGGGCAGCTCCGGGCCCCGGCTGGGTCCTTGTCCTCATAGCAAATCCACGAGCACACCAAACGACAACACCCAAGTCATGTTCCCACAGGGCCCATGACCCAGGAGTGACTGGGAATGGGCAGGCGGAGGGCCGGAGCGGGGGTGGCCGGGGCAGGGTGTTTGGTGATGCCAGCCGCAGCTGCCAGCTTGCTTCCTCCACACCCTCACAGGGCAAGGTGACTCACAGCCCTGACCTGCCATCTGGGTCCCCGTCTGCACCAGCTTGAGAGCACGCAGGATCCGCTAATGCTTGGGGACCTTCTTGCCCTCTTCAGTATCTTGCTGGGCCTCAGGGCCAGCGTCCGGGCCCCAGGCAGCCACAAACAGGGGGCTTCCTGCCAGCCAGCCAAACCCCAGGCAAGGCTCACTCTCACTGTCAGCCTCTGCTGCGCTCTGAGCAAGTTGGTTCCTGTTGCACCCAAATATAATGTCCATGACACAGTCGAGAAGGTGCCAACAAACTCGACACGCCTCTAAGTGGGAACAGTGGGCAGGACACACCTAAGACAATAGGCATGAAAGCTAGTCTTAATTATATTGTCGTGCGGGAGCTGGAATCCCACCAACTCTCACTGGAGGCCTGTGTGCAGGGTAACTGTTGACCCAACCTGGCTTTGTAGGGGTCTTGGTAGATTAGTCTCAACTCTCTTCCACTGCTGACCCCCCCCCCCCCCCCCCCGCACCTTTGAAGGACCCTGGTCTCAGATCAAGTGGGAAGAGCAATGGCTGGCTTCTCTCCAAGAGACCGCTTCTTACTCCCTCACTTTCTTCTGCAGAAGACAGTACCCGAGGGGCCCCTGCACTCAGCCCCTCCTTCCTCTGCCCCTCTGTGAGATGGACCAACCCCTTGGCAATTTGCTGTCTGAATTCCAAAGAGCAGACGTCTTGCTTTGTCTGAGTGGAGAGATCCTTTGAGGAAATGTCAGTGCTTGTTGGTTGGGTTTTGGGGGGTTTTGTTTGATTTTGGTTTTGTTTTTTTTCCGCCTGTTTTGGCACCACACCTAGCAGTAATCGGGGCTCACTCATGGCTGTGCTCAGGGCTCACTCTTCAAGCGGCTGGGGAAACTTATGGGATACCGGACTCAAACCCTGGCCACACGACTACATGCACAGCAAGTGCCTTTTCAGCCGTTCTGCCTGTCTGGCCCCAGCCCTTGTTTTGTAATGCCAAGAGATCCTGCCTTTTGTGAATCGAGGAACTGGCCAAGTGTAGTGACTGGGTTGTGCCCACTCTTGCTAGTTCAACAGGGAAGGGGGCAGCACTACCCCTCCCTGTACCTGCAGTGCTCCACTCCTGACAGGAAACTTCAGCTTCCTCATGGAACAGATGCTTCCAGCACCATTAGTAACCTGCCTCAAGGGCACAAGCCAGGGCCCAGCTTTGGGAGACCAACGCCCATGTCCGTGAGCTGCCAGGGGCCTCTGGTTTCCCAGCATCTGTCGTGTTTTCCGCACAGGCACTAGCTCAGTCATTCTGAGGAGCAAAAGTTCCCACAGTCTGGCCTCCCGCCCCCGCAGACCTTGACAAAGTCACTGCTCTCTGCCAGGCACAGTGCTTGGCCCCAGGGAAATGACATTCTTGAGGCCCAGCAGCCCGAAGAACTCAGTGCTCTGTGACAAATGCCGCTGAGAGTCCTGGAACAGAAAGGGGACCCAGGTGGTGGGTTGGTGCCGCATGGAGGCTGTCTTGGAGAAGGGCCAGGAGATGAGCTTGGACAATGGAGCTGGGGCAATGCTGCGTGCCTGACCTGACGAGCTGGGGAGGAACAGGAGAGCCAGATCATCACTGAGGAGGTGGAAGGAGTCACAAGACTTCCAAATGGGGCAAGAGGAGGAAAGGTAGGTCTAGTCTTGGTTTTTGTTTTGGGGCCACACCCAGCAGTACTAAGGGCTCTCTCTGTACTCAGGGATCACAGGTTGGCCAGAGTGCAAAACAAAGACCCTGCCCATTGCACTCTCTCCCTGGCCCACAGATGGGTCTATTCCTAATCTGTGCCTTGGGAGAGAGGAGTGGGATTTGAGTTTGTATTTTGGACCACACACAGCAGTGCTCAGGGCTTACTTCTGGTTCTGTGCTCAGGGATCACTCCTGGCGGGGTTCAAAGGACCCTATGTCATGCTGGGGGTCAAACCCAAGTTGAGCACATTCAAGACTAGTGCTCTCCCACTCACTGTACTATCTTTCCTCCTCTTTTTTTTTTTTTTAATTTTTTACTTTTTTTGTGCGGGGATGGGGGTCACATCCGGCAATGCACAGGGGTTACTCCTGGCTCATGCACTCAGGAATTAATTCTGGTGGTGCTCAGAGGACCATGTGGGATGCTGGGAATCGAACCTGGATCAGCCGTGTACAAGGCAAACACCCCGCTCTACCTGCTGTGCTATTGCTCCAGCCCCTCTTTTCTCCTTTTGATGGAGGTGCAAACTAACTGTTTAGTGAGGTGCCTGAGGCTGGAATGACAGCTGGCCATGCATCACCTGACTGGAGCAGCCTGGAGCCTGGCATTGTAAAACAACTAGAACCGACCAGAGAGATCGTACAGCAGGTAGGGCAATTGTCTTGCCTGCAGCTGGCCCAGGTTTGATCACCAGCACCCTATATGGTCCCTCCAAGCCCACAAGGAGTGATCCCTGAGCACTGAGCCAAGAGTAAGCCCTTAGTACTGCCAGGGGTGACCCCAAAACAAAAAAAAAAAACAAAAGCGAGAGAAAAATTTTAACAAGAACATAACCCTGAACAGGGCAGCTTGGGGTGAAGAAAGACCTTTCTAGAGACAGCAGATCAAGATGGGTAGGTTGTAGGAGATACTTGTGCCTCCAAGGGTTATGGAACGGATGAAAGTTGCTGAACCAGGCCACTGCCTATGAGGGAGATGACTGTATTGAATGTCATGGGAAACACAACAGATTATAGAAAGGTACTCAGGCTGCAGAGACAAGACGCAAGGAAGGCACTTGCCTTGCACATGACCAACCACAGTTCAGTTCCCAGCAAGACATATCCCTCAAACTCTGCCAGAAGTGACTCCTGAGCAGAGGGCCAGGAGTAAAACCTGAACAGCACTGCCAGGGGTGGCTCAGAAACCAAAACGAGAAAAAATAAAAAGGTCCGAGAATAAAATAAGCATCTTACATTAGACAAGTGAGTTCATCACTGGCAATATGCAAGCTCCTCTGAGTATCTGAATATTCATCTATCAAGTCACAAGGTGGCGGCTTGGTCTAAAGGTCTTTCTAACTGAACTATGTGGGTTTAACCATCCCTAATTCTACGTCTCCAGGACATCAGGAGAAGCCATCACCTCTGCCAACAACTGCCATCCTTCTCTCAGTCCTCACTCAACCATTGAGACCTGGGAGAGGAGCCCAGGAAGCCAGTGAGAAGGGGAATGGAAAGTGGCTTAGGTGAGCTGTGTATTTCACAGACCATTACAGGCAGAGGGAATAAGGAAAAGGAGCCAGCAGGGTCTCAGGGCACTTGCCTTGCACACTGCAGACTGGGTTTGATCCCCAGCACCCCATATGGTCTTCCCAGCCTACCAGAAATGATCCCTGAACACAGTCAGGAGTAAGCCCTAAGTACTGATGGGTGTGGCCCCCCCCCCCCAAAAAAAACCCAGAAAAGTAAAGAAAAAAAAAGAGCCAGAGAGATGGTACAGTGGGAAAGGTGGTTTCATTGCACGTAACCAACCCAGGGTCAATCCCCAGCAACCAGAGTCTACTAAGCGCCACCAGGAGTGATCCCTGAGCACATAGCCTGGAGTCCTGAGCAACCACCAAGTATGACCCAAAAGCATAAAAGGTGGGGAGAGGGGTGTAGTGATGTCTCTGGAATCCTCAGTCAAACTGGATGGGAAGGTGGCAGAAGCTCTGCTACCATGGCTGGTTGGCGAGGAAAAAAAGGCCAGAAATGAAGAATAGGCAGGAGGGCTGAGAAGGGTGAAGACAGCGACACCACCACCACCACCACCACCACCACCACCACCACCACACCACCACCACCACCCCCCCGCCCCGAGAGAGGAGAGGCTGAGTCCTGATGCAGCCTAGCTGCAGAGCTGCATCTTCCAGGACGGAGGCTGTGGGAGAGCACCTGGCTCCTGGCGGCCCTGACTGTTGGTGATGCTGGAAGCAGAGTCCGCTGCGCAGGAACAGGGCATCTTGGGGAAGAAAGTTGGAAAGGAATAAAGGTCTTGGAGCAGAGCCAGAGAAGACAGTGGGGAAGGTGCCTGCCTTGCACACGGCCAACCTGGATTTGACCCCTGACACCACAGAGGGTCCCCTGAGCACTGCTGGGAGTGATCCGTGAGTACAGAGCCAGGAAAAAGCCCTGAGCACCTAAAAAATAATGATTTGGAGCCTCCAGGGAATGGAGGGGAGCCAGAGCAGTGCTTATTTCCTTCTGGGGCTCTGATCCCAAGTTTGCAGGGCAATGCCCACTGCCTCGTGGCTGCCCACAGAGCTGAAATGGTAGCAGCTGTGTCAGTTGTGGATCAGCAGCGTGTGGTCCCAGAGGCAAGTTCTTTCATTTTTTAATTATTATTATTTTCTATTTGGGTTACACCTGGCAATGCACAGGAGTTACTCCTGGCTCTGCACTCAGAAATTATCTCTGGTGGTGCTGGGATACTGGGAATCAAATCCGGATTGGCTGTGCGCAAGGCAAATGCCCTACCCGCTGTACTATTGCTCCAGCCCCCAGAGGCAAGTTCTGAAATGAGATGGATATGTAGTCCAGACTGGATGCTCAAGGGTTCCCTCAAGATGGCTGTAAGATTATGAAGCGGAAGATGGGGCACCTGAGCTGGGT